TGGTTCTAATTCTTCCTTACAGCATCACTAATGTGAAAATATGTTTAATAGGAATATATATGTACAGCCTATATCAGACTGCGCACTGTTTTGGGGAGGAAGGTGGAGAGGGAGGGGGAGAAAAATTTAAAACTCAAAAGCTTATGGAAGTGATTGCTGATAAACCAAAATAAATTAATTTTTTTAAAAAAAAGTAGGTGCTTAACAAATATTTGTTTGGAGAATCAGGGTCAGATGTAGGACTGTAAGGAACAATCCAACCCCCTCATTTTTTAGAGCAGGAAACTGAGGCTGGGTGTGAAGACATGTCCAAGATGTCCATTTTTCAATAAATATTTATTAGGCAACACAGAATCACAGGACCACAGATTTAGAGCCACTGGGAATCCTGAGGAATGATCTCGTCCAATCCTCTCATTTTACGGAAGAGGAAAAGATAAGCAAATGGTAGAGATGGGATATGAACTCAGTTCCTCTGATTCCAACTTGAAGACTTTTTCCAGTATACTACACTTTTCCACCTACTGTTGTGTGCAAGGCACTGGGCTCAGCACTAGGGATAAAAAGACAAAAAGGAAATACTTTATCTAGTCAGGTAAGACTTCACGGAAAAGAAGGGCTTTCAGTACTGCTTTGGAGGAAAGAGCAAGGACGATTTTTAGCAAGTAAAGAAATCCACAAAAGATGGCAAACAAGCCAGACAATGGTAAGCAAGCACATCAGGCCAAGCAGTAGACAACAAATAAACTCTGAAGGACAGACGAGACATGAGAGGGGCACTTTATAAATGGTTTGCTTCGGGGAGCTGCCCCTAACTTAACTCTCTACCCAAAGACAGTATTCTGTCAGAAGCCAACTAGAAACCATCTTATACAGCTCACACATAATGCTGCTGTAGAGTAATGCTTCTCCAAGAGAAAGCAACCAAGCCTTTCGTACGCTCTGATCTCTGACACAGCATCAGGTCATGGGCACTCAGGGATTATTAGTACCTAATGCTAAGGAAGAAGAAGACAAGATACTTACACAACCCTGGTTTTAGCTGGCAAGTATTAACCATTATAACATCCAAAAAAGGTGCCCCAAGAGGACAGCCAGAGTATGACAGTTGTCTAGTAATACCATATATACATCAGTACAATAAAAAAATATATATACCTGTCTTTTTTTAATTGAGAAAAAGATTGTTTATAATGCTGCAAACTATTTCAACATGAATTTGGGTTTCAACATAAGGAAGAGAAATCCTCTTTTTCTATGGAACTACAGTCTAAAGGTCAAGTAGCATGTCTATTTAAAGTGAGCCGCCCAAGTAAAAGTAGGCCTGGTCTGATCTGTAATTCCTCACTTATCTAGAGTTTTATGCCCCTTAAAATATAAAGGGATTTCACATTTAAAGTCTTCAGAAACAGGATACCATAAAACAAACTTCTTGAATGATTGCTTTGTTCTTTTCCTCTTCGTTGGACAGCAGCCTCTGTATCATAGAAGAATACAAAAAGAAAGAATAGATTAAAAATGGATATTTCTTCTTTGAAGTTAATATGTTTAACTTATAAGTACAAATATGTAAATATCTTATTAAGGAATAAACACAGCTTACCTTAAGAATTACTCACCTCTTCTTAGATTATATACCTTTTGTTCTAATTAGACACAAATGAATGATATTTGAAAGCACACTTCTGCTGATTATGGGAAACAAGGAAAGCAGAAGACCAAGGGATAGTGGGGCTGGAAGGGGATGGCGGGATAGAGAGGAACCTCTTTAAGTACTGCCTAGGATGCTACAAAGGGGACAAGGACCAAAACCAACTGTTTTCAGTGACTACGTTTATATTTGTTGTTGTTCAGTCTTTTTTTTCTTAAGTCAGTCTCCAACTCTTCATGAC